GAAAGAATGTCAAATGCAGAACCTATACTCCCACCTACTAGCAAATCGAATGGGATTACAAGCAATGATGTAAAGGATAATCTTTTGGCGAATATAACTGATTCTGTCTCTGAAAACTTATTTGCCATCCCTCTTGCAGTAGGAAAATTATTTTTTGTACACTCGGGAAAGCATTATACTTGTACTGCTAGTGTAATTGATACTAGTGATGGAAATACAGGACTTACTGCATCACATTGTCTTTACAGTGATGGTGAATATTCGAAAAAAGTAATTTTTTGTCCTGGATATGAAGCTGGTAAACCAAGAAGCGATTTAGGAAAAATTCGTGTTATAGGACTTAGTGTGCCAAAAAGTTTCATGGAATTTGAGGAGGATGATTACGCCGCGATAAAATTTGATTTTGATGGTAAATTAAAAGATCAAACAGGAGCTTTTGGCTGGGGTTTAACTCCACCAAATCCAGTGAAAGTTACTACATATGGATATCCAGGTAATGGTGACTTGAATTGTCCTAGAGACACGAAAACCTGTTGCTATTGGGTAGGTGATGCAACTCAAAAAGACGTGCTTGGGATACCTGAGCTAACCGCATGGAATGTTCCTGTAGTTCTTGGAAAGGGTGGAAGTGGAGGCCCTTGGGTAATGAGAGTTGGTGCGTTAAATCCTTTTGGTTATTTGGTTAGTGTAACAGGATATGTCGTTGGAAATGATGGATCATTTGCGGATATATTAAATTTTACGCTTATTAAAGAATTAATAGATTGGCCATCAAATTAAACTAAAATTAGGACACCAAGAGTATTCAGTCCCAAATTACATATAAATCTATCAACGCTAAACAAACCCATTTTGACGTACTTAATTAGACATAGAAACTAAACATAGAAGTTTTATATATAATGCACTCTAACCAGAAACTACTGATATCACATGTTAGTAATCAAATTTTGGAGTCTGTAATGTTTATTGTGTTGTTAATTGAGTAAATTTAATCCAAAACTGCTTTGTGAAAAATTATGATATGTTTTTTTTCGGTTGAATTTTTTCAAAATCGATAATTAACGAATCTAGGCCTTTTATATACAATTATAACCTGTAAATTTGTTATTTTATATAATATGTCATTATATAGTTAGACAATTTTCATTTTTATTTTGTTTAATAAAGTAATTAGATACATATGGATATCCAGGTGATGGTGACTTGAATTGTCCTAGAGACACGAAAACCTGTTGCTATTGGGTAGGTGATGCAACTCAAAAAGACGTGCTT